AATTTGCAGTACTTTGGGTGAAGGATCACAATCCACACTAATAAAAAGAGAAGAGAGTTTGCCAAATATAGAAATGCACGTATTTTACACAGGGTCAGTAAGCTTGTGATGGGATGGCAGCTGTACAAAACTTCAGGAATCAAGGCTGAGTATGTTCATTTACATTACACTCAAAAGTTTCAGAGAAATACAAATGTTTCAGTTCTTTGTAAGAGAAGATATGCTTCCTAAAATAGAGAAAAACAAGTAGTAAAATAGGCGTGGATTACCAAGCCAATGTGAAACTCTTACTCTTTCTGGCATTAGTACAAAATAAACAGTATCTATAGCTTCAGTGAGCCTACTTGAGTGAGTAAGTTTTCACCTATATATAAAAAAAAAAATCACAGTCTAGCTCCTAATTAATACTGTTTTCAAACTGCAAGAGCTACATATTAAATTCAGGCTAAGACTGGAAGATTAAATTCTTGCTTGAGCTGATCTGAAACCAAATTTTTTATTTTGCAGTTAATCCTATCAATAGGTAATATTTTCCTTAAAAATAGCTACGAACTTTCCAGCTAAAAACTGTCAATCAGCCAAGTCAGCTTTCAAATTTTGCACTGACTGTAAACAAAAACTACATAAATGTGCAATGCTGCAAAAACTGAAAAGGACCGGTAAGTGCCACTGCCACTTAAGCCACTAACATAATTTTACAAAGCTTCTTTTTCAAATGTCTGCTTCCTTCAAAGTCAATAGCAAAACTCCTGTCAACTTAAGTGACTGCAAGGCCAGGCCCTGAGAGAATAATCCTTTCCCAGCTGCACATTCTTAGACTGGTGCTGAGTTACTGGTTAAAGACTGATGAGGCAAGGAGGAAAGCAGATGCCCCTTTTATCACTAATATTAAATACACCTGACTAAATACACATTCACATGAACGTGGAGAGTAGAGTGGCATTTGTTGAAAACAAGATGCCACTTTCTAGGTAGCAAATAGTTCCCATCTCCAACACACTGTTTAAGAGAGACAATTGGCTGAGGAATCTCACAAAAAATAAGTCACTATTTGCCATAATTAAAGAAAGGACTTTTTTTTTTTTTTGTAGAATGCCCAAATTAGCCCACATTTCCAAAGGTGTAACCAAAAGCAGAGTATATGCTAGAGTGTGGTGGTTTTCTAGTGCATGGGAGAGAATAGAAGGTGTGTGGCTCTGGGCCATTCCAGCAGGCATCAATGTGCAAAGCACAAGACCCACAGCATTGTGACTTCAAACCACCCAAAAACCAGAATTACTCCAACTCACAATGCTGTTTAGATCCTATAGCTATCACAAAACAGACCCATTAACAATCAGAGGCAAAGTCAGACTGCCCATCCCAGAGCATTAGAGAAAGAAGTGTGATGACATCAATGCCCATGAGTCATGATGTGTCAGTGCCCAGCATTATATCTATTTTATAGCACACATTAATTTCTTAGTCAAAGCCACATTGCACAAAATACTGTATGGTCTGTGGAAACTTTAAAAACATATTTTGCAAGGGAAATGTTTCAAAAGCCTAAAGCATGTCTTCTTAGAACATCACTGTCAAATGTGTAAGGATATAACAAATTAATCAAGTTTTCCTAGTATTTGGTAGTAGGAAATGCTCAGCTTCCTAATACTTCAAATTAAGCCTGCGATGGCATTTCTTCATTGTGTATTTACATACAACAGTCTGATCAAAAGTTTTAAGGCTCTTATTTCTCAAAAAAATGGTCACAGTAAAGAAGTGATTAAATGGAGTTAACGCAGCTATTGGCAATACAAAGAAGGATGCTCATGTCATTTGCTATTGTACAATCTGGGGCATTTCACTCCATGCTTTGGCTTTCTTCTTGGCCAGG